CACACACACACACACACACACACACACACACAGACACACACACACACAGAGAGAGAGAGAGAGAGAGACGCTTGAAGCATGCGTTTCAGGGACCTTTTTCTGTGTCGGGGAGGTTGCGGGAAGTCGCATCGAATGTCAAAAAAGACCACAGGTGGTCAGAGCGCCGGGGCATCCGATGGACCGTCCGTGGCAATCCGACCGCGAAACAAGGACCTCCCCGTGGTGGTATACCGACCACCAGCGTCGCCACCTGACTGTGGGCGGGACTCCGTGGAAGCTGATCCTGTCCTCGGCATAGATCTGGGCACGACCTACTGCTGCGCGGCGGTGTGTTTCAACATGGATCATGTGGAAACAGTTCCCAACGAGATCGGACACAGCACAACGCCGTCCTACGTGGCATTCACAGATAGGCACGAGGACTCCGAGGTTCTCGTTGGAGAAGAGGCGCGAAAATACGGGATGACGTGTCCCGAGCAGTGTGTATTCGAGGTCAAGAGGTTGATGGGGCGATCGTTCCATGACCCAAACGTTCAGCAAGACATAAAAACGTTTCCCTTCAAAGTGTTGCCCGGCCCGCAGGGCGAGGCAATGGTCGGGGTCTCGAATCCCGACGGGCGGCAGTCGTTGTTCAAACCGGAGGAGATATCAGCGATGCTGCTGAAGAGGATGAAGAAGATCGCAGAAGATTTCACAAACTGCCAGTCCATTAGCAAGGCCGTGATCAGCGTGCCCGCGTACTTTGATGACAGTCAGCGCAAGGCGACGATGGAAGCCGGGGAGAGAGCCGGGTTGGAGGTGCTGAGATTGATGAGCGAGCCGACGGCAGCGGCGGTGGCCTACGGTCACAAGCGGTTGTTGAGGAGGCGTAGGGAGGAGGAGGAGGAGGAGGAGGAGGAGAAGCAGATCCTCGTGTTCGATCTTGGAGGCGGAACGTTCGACGTGTCCGTCATCACCGTCGCGGCAGGTGCCGACGACGAGATCCGCTTCATTGTGAATGCAGTGGCCGGCGACTGCCATCTCGGAGGGGTGGACATCGACAGGCGCCTGCTCGAGCACTTAGCGAGGCAATTTGAGAGGCAAGGGGGTGGGGAAGGTGTGCTTGCGACGAATCCGGGGGTGATTTTCAAGCTTAGGCAGGCCGTCGTGGAGGCCAAGCACGCCCTTTCAGATCGCGAAGAGACAAAGGTTTGCCTGGATTGCGGCGGCGGCGGCGGCGGCGGAGGCGGCGGAGGCGGCGGCGGCGGCGGAGGCGGCGCTGTCCTCAGCCTGACACTCGACCGATCGGAGTTCGAGTCCCTCATCCGCACAGACCTGCACGACCGATGCACTGCGGTCGTCGAGCAAGCGCTTCGCGGTGCGGGGATCCGCAAGGACGGGATCGCGGACGTAATCCTGACCGGTGGATCGACTCGGATCCCGATGGTCCAAGACATGCTGACAGCCTTCTTCGGCAAAGCGCCCATCAAGGTGGTCCATCCCGATCCCGATGAGGCAGTGGCGTACGGCGCGGCAGTGCAAGCAGGATTGCTGGCATCCTCAAGGAGCAACCGCCACCAGAGACTGGAGAGGGGTCACCGTGATGCTTGTCGGGATCCGGACGATTGGCAGCCGTCCTTCTTGGTGACGGAAGTTACACCGCTTAGTATTGGAATAAGAAGCTGGGGAGGCGTGATGCGGGTCGGGATCCCGAGGAACTCCCCCCTTCCTGCGGCGGGGGAGTTGAACTTCGGCCTCCGCGACAACCAGAAGAGCGCAGTGGTCCCCCTGTACGCGGGCGAGCGCGCTCTCTGCAAGCATAACCGATTTCTGGGTCAGTCGACAATCAAGCGATTCACCCCAGCGCGCGCGAGCGGCCGGGCAGCAGTGCGTGTGTTGCTCAACGTTGACGTCAACGGGATTCTGCATGCGACGTGCGAGGTCACCGCTCAACACTTGGAGATCGGGAGAAAGGAGGAAGTCAAGGTGGAGACATTGCGGGCGGATATCGACAGAGGGGGCGCGCACGCACTCGCTGCCATGACCGATGCTATAAATAGCTACACTCCCGAAGCGGAAGCGGAGGATGCCAGGGTGCGCGCCGCTCACGAATCGCGACTCGAGTTGTTGCGTCTGGTTTGCAAATTGCGGACGGATCGTCGCTGGAGGGCGGACCTGAAACGGAAGAGGCAATTGAAGGAGGTTTGCGCATGGTTGATGCCAGAGACTGAACTTGCGCCAGGAGCGCAGTATGAAGAGGCGTACGAGTCCTTGCAGAATCTCAACCATACCCCGAGTGCCGTAATTGGGCCTGAGGAGGGCGGAAGGGACACGCTTGAGGAGGTTGCAGGGCACCGGCGTGAGGAGGTTGGAGGGCACACGCTTGACGAGGACGAAGGGCACCGACTTGAGAAGGACGAAGGGCCCGGGCATGAGGAGGAGGTAGGGCCCGGTCTGGAGAAGGACGAAGGGCCTGGGCATGAAAAGGACGAAGGGCCTGGGCATGAAAAGGACGAAGGGCCTGGGCATGAGAAGGATGAAGGGCCCGGGCATGAAAAGGACGAAGGGCCTGGGCATGAGAAGGATGAAGGGCCCGGGCATAAGGAGGTTGGAGGGCACAGGCTTGAGGAGGTTGGAAGGCGCACACTTGAGGAGGATGAAGGGCACGGACTTGAGAAGGACGAAGGGCCCGGTCTTGAGGAGGAGGTAGGGCCCGGGCGTGAGAGGGAGGTAGGGGCCGGTCGTGAGGACGATGAACGGCACGACCGTGAGGAGGGCGGAGAGCACAGGCTTGAGGTGGTTGGCGGGCACAGGCTTGAGGATGTTGGAGGGCACATGCTTGAGGAGGTTGGAAGGCACACGCTTGAGGAGGATGAAGGGCACGGACTTGAGAAGGACGAAGGACCCGGGCATGAGAAGGACAAATGGCCCGGGCATGAGGAGGACGTAGGTCCCGGGCATGAGGAGGAGGTAGGTCCCGGGCACGAGGAGGAAGAGCGGCACGGCCGTGAGGAGGACAGAGAGCACAAGCTTGAGGAGGATGGAGGGCAGGGCCCTGAGAAAGACGGACCTGAGAAAGACAACGACTCGATGCCGTAAAGGCCGGCAGGAAGAAAAACCAGTAGATAGACAGAGACAGGCGGACGAACACACACACACACACACACACACACACACACACACACACAAACACAGATTAATTTCTCAGACTTGCAAAACCGTTCTTGTCAATGGTTTGGACCGGCAGTCTGCTAGGATTGCAAGGTTGGTGTGAGTAAAGTGGGGACCGCTTTTCTCTCTCAGGGATTAGAGAGAGAGAGAGAGAGAGAGAGAGAGAGAGAGAGAGAGAGAGGAATTGAAATGGCAGAAATTCATCTGGAAAGTGCGGAAAAAGGAAACACAGCTACACAGGTAGATGTCCAGCAAGGGAAGGACGGAATAAACAATACCGATCGTAGGCAACCATGGGTAAACCATGCACTGCAGGCAGATAAACACAGAGAGACCGTCAGAGACGGACCTGTATATATAGAGAAACTGTACATATATAGAGGGGAAAGGAAACAATACCTGTCTTCCCTCCGAACACAACGCACCCTCATTTTGACTGTACTGGACTATCAGGGTGCGTTATGTTCGGGGGAAGACCGTTGGGAGAGATGCATAGGTGTGTATATGAGGCAGGTAAGTGAGTAAACAGTACAGATTCATAAAGAGAGAGGATCGACGATATACTCTTTTTTTTTCCTTTTTCTTAGGATAGATGATAGACTATTTTAGTACTTTGAACTTTATTGAGATGGGATTGACGGGAGAAATCCAGTACATCTGAGGGCATACTAACACTAGGACGTTTTCTTCTAAGCTCTGGACGTGGATGTGATTGCAGTCAGATTCAATCCAGGTCTTGCCGTAATTGCAGTCAGATACATTTAGGAAAGTGCTAGTGTGAGTATGCTCTCAGAAAGACGTTAGTATGCGCTTATAGAGAGACGTGCTGGTAGAAAGCCGGGAAACTACAAAGGTGTTTTTTTCTTTTTTACGGTGATTGTACCTGGATTCGAATTCGGGTCTGTATTTCAACAATTCATGGGTGTCCCGTCCCGACTGATCACCAACTGAGCTAGGGCCGTTGGTAAGGTGGCGGTTTTCGGTTTGGCCTTTTTTTTTTTTTTTTTTTTTTTTTTTTTTTTTTTTTTTTTTTTTTTTTTATTTTTTTTTTTTTTTCCCCCTGGCCTTCCCCGTACACCTTTGGTATTTGGATGGTGCGTATGTGGCCTGTGGTTTTTAGGAATGGCTCAGTAGTTTTTTCTCATGAGTCATGAATGTTCTTGTCATTCTCAGCCGAGGCCGGGCAATGGCCCAATGGCCCTGGATTTCTATATGGGGGGAGAAGGGTAATGGCCCTGGATTTCTATATGCCATTGGGACTCCTGTTCTCCCCTGGTATTTCCCACTATGCGCTGCTCCCCATGAATAGATTTGGAGCATTGTTCCACAAAAAAGACAAAGAAAAAGAAAAGATCTTCCGGCACCCTGATTCGTAAAGTTCCCCGTCCGAAATATAGAGAAAATAGCAAAGAGTTGCGCTCACCCAACCCGATGACCAACGGCCTCGGTTGGCCTGGGCGCTTCTCTATTAAGGGTTTAGGCTTCAGGCGAAAAAAAGGGTTTAGGGTTTAGGTTTCGCCCCGGCCCCTGCGATGGACGAGTGAGCAGTTTGAGTGCTGGTCATGGTCAATACCACCGACCAGGGAGCAGTTTGACTGATGCTCGATGCCGTCAGCGGCAATAGGCGAGGGCACAGCACACCCCCAGGAGACTGAGAGAAAGGAGAAAGTTAAAGCCTTTGGAAAAAAAAAAAAAAAAAAAAAAAAAAAAGACAAGGGCACGTGATGCAGATATCATCATCGTGTTGACTTACCCCAGGTCCCCANTTTTTTTTTTTTTTTTTTTTTTTTTTTTTTTTTTTTCCCTTTGGCCTTCTGAGTACAACTTTGGTATTTTGGTATTGCATATGTTTCCTGTGGATTTTATGAATGGCTCAGTAGTTTTTTCTCATGAGTCATGAATGTTCTTGTCATTCTCAGCCGAGGCCGGGCAATGGCCCAATGGCCCTGGATTTCTATATGGGGGGAGAAGGGTAATGGCCCTGGATTTCTATATGCCATTGGGACTCCTGTTCTCCCCTGGTATTTCCCACTATGCGCTGCTCCCCATGAATAGATTTGGAGCATTGTTCCACAAAAAAGACAAAGAAAAAGAAAAGATCTTCCGGCACCCTGATTCGTAAAGTTCCCCGTCCGAAATATAGAGAAAATAGCAAAGAGTTGCGCTCACCCAACCCGATGACCAACGGCCTCGGTTGGCCTGGGCGCTTCTCTATTAAGGGTTTAGGCTTCAGGCGAAAAAAAGGGTTTAGGGTTTAGGTTTCGCCCCGGCCCCTGCGATGGACGAGTGAGCAGTTTGAGTGCTGGTCATGGTCAATACCACCGACCAGGGAGCAGTTTGACTGATGCTCGATGCCGTCAGCGGCAATAGGCGAGGGCACAGCACACCCCCAGGAGACTGAGAGAAAGGAGAAAGTTAAAGCCTTTGGAAAAAAAAAAAAAAAAAAAAAAAAAAAAGACAAGGGCACGTGATGCAGATATCATCATCGTGTTGACTTACCCCAGGTCCCCAGGTATTGTATCATTGCATTCATCTCGTTCATCAGGATTGAATTTCGAACTTGGGTCCGTTTCTAAATTGGGTCTCGTTCCACACCACTTGAGTTAAAGAGTGAAGCGAAAAATCGTTGTTCCACCCCCACATTAGAGCGATCCGCTTTGTTTCCCCTTTTTTGGGTCCCAAGGGTACACCCTTGAGACTCAAGGGCGACACAGCCAAAACCGCCCTTGATTTCAACTTACCTCCCGGAGGTACCTTGAGTTCAAGTGCCATAGGATACCGCCAGCACTCCGAGTGGGGTCTTTTTTGGGTTTTTCTCTTTGTCCAGCAGGCGATCCTGGTCCAGGATTGGTCAGCAAGCCGTGGAGTTAGGTTTCAAGTGCAGAGATCCTGTTCAAAGGTTTCCTCAAGTGAACATGGAACCATAAATCGGTAAGTGTAAATTAATCACCATTTCTTGTTTAGTGTGCACACTTAAAACGCAAGTATTTTCAAGTGGTGTGGAAGGAGGCTCTTATTCTGCAGTTTATGGGTTGTGGGTGTACTAACTGAGCTAGGTCCGTTGGTAAAGAAAATGACTTTCTTTTGACTTCCTTCACTTAAGATGAATAGAGGCCCTGCTCGTGCTTGAACTGCCATGACCTACGCTATAAATAGCTAGGATCCCCAAGCAGAAGGGGAGGTCCTGGGACCGGGTTCTGGGTGGATTTGGGACTTGCGGGGCACCACCGTGAGTAAGGGCCTCCCCGCAATGCTCACCAACTGCACAAAAGTGTGTGTGTGTGTGTGTGTGTGTGTGTGTGTGCGTGCGTGTGTGTGTGTGTGTGCACAGGCACACGATTGCACAAACAGGCACATAGACTGGAGGGCATGGAAGAGAAGTAGGAACGTTTGAGACAACACATAGGTACCGGGCATGGGAGAGGCGGGAGGGCAGACAACACAAGCTCGTAAGGCAGGGAAATGACAACAACCATTGGACAAGACAAGTACCAAGACCAAAAACTGAAAAAAATAAAAACTGCTGATGATAGATTGTTTCGTTAGGAGTTGCACCGACTCATCAGGAGGCTGAACAATCGACAATTTGTGGAGTGCTCGTATTGATGGTTTTGGTCCTGAACCCTTTGACCCTTGTTGAAGGAAGACTGTCCACAAGCGGAACATAGCAGCGGGCAGCAACTCAGCGAAGCACCAGGCAACACTTTTGAGGCAACACAACTGCACAACGCCAAAAGCAACTGCAAGGAGCGACAAGGCAAGAGGACAAGCAGCACAGCAACAGTGCAGTGAAGCACAAGGCAACACCAAGACAGCAGCTACACTACACAACAGTGACAACACACAAGCAAGGATCGCGGAATGCAAGGTAGTATGCAGATGGGCAGCAAGGCAGCTTCAAGTTGGTGCTGTGTTAGGCGTGCCAGTTTGGTTTTGATTTGAGCCAAATGGGCTAGGAGTTCCATGTGAATAAACTGACGTATCGTGTCAGAAACGTCTGCTCCATCTACCCAGACCTTTTCTACATTGTAGCGTTGCCACCATAGGGCCTACTGCCTTATACACTGGATCAAACAGATTCTCAGTGAACCTCGTGGTCTGGGGGAGTTGTCAAGCCTGCAATACGAGTGCTCTACAATCCCAGGGCCATTTCATTCCCGTATCTAGTTGGCGCGAGATGCAGTCCTACCTTCGACAAGTCACCACTGCAGTTGGGCATTGCAGGAAGAGGTGCTCGATCGTTTCTGGGCGCTTGCAGTGGGGGAAGCTCTCCTGGCAAGCTATGTCATCCCGTCAGACGGGTACGGCCCGTCCGTACGCCAGGGACGGCTGTACATATGGCCCCCTGGGCATTCATACGGGTCGTACAAACGGTCGTGCGAGGCTTTTTGGGGACCTTCCGGGGGGGCCCTTGTGAAACTAACCCCGGGGGGAGGTTGCGGGTGTCAGAGGACACTCCCAGACACACCCCCTCCCACCCCCACAAAAATAAAAAGAAAAATAAATTAAAAAATAAATTAAAAAATAAAACTTTTTTGGTGGGAGGGGGGGGGGGTGAGGGGAAAAAAAAAGAAAAAAAAAAAAAGAAGAAAGAAGGTAAAGGTAGCCGGGCTCCCTTCGAATGGAGGGACAGGGAAGCCTTATACCAAGTTAGGGTCCTAGAGGACGGAAAGGAATACATGGCCTTCCAGCCACAGAAAAGTATTCATGAGCTGGCCTTCGACCCACTGATGTGGCAGTGGGAAACTTCCCAACGTCAACAGGCCCTCCCTCTAAACAGATCATGATACAAAAACTAACAGTTAAATCTACATATCGAGTGATGAGACCCAAGCGCAATCTGAGAGATACAGTCATTGGGCTAAGCACCTTAACGTGGATCGTCGCCAACTTACACCAATAAAATGGTTTCGGGACTGGAAGTCTAAACCAGCTAAAGTTACCTCGCTGCAATGGCAAATAGTACACCGTTGTCTGCCAACCAATGACTGGTTATTAGACCATACCGATTTGGAACAGACAGGGTTAGCATTGCCTTGGTGCTTGCAGTGTCTCAGACATTTCCCATCCTGCAAGAAGGCGGAAACAATAGAGCACATCTTCATGCGATGCCCACTCGCACAATTTACAAGGAGATGGTGGAATAGGGTGTGGAGGAAAATGGGTATGACAAGCCCCTGGCCATGGTCCTGGCAAGCGATCCTGATAGGGCACTGGCCACAGCAGGAAGAAACGGCCTTCGTAAAGAACATGTACAGGTTGGGGAGGCGAGCCGTACTATGGGCA